TCAAAATTAACTTCTGCGGCCCGAAATCTATAAAAAATGTATTTAGTTAAAAGATTGGTCGGAATTTTTGGGAACTTTACCAAAGGCTCATTTTCTGAATACCAAATTTTTGACGTTTTGCCCAGTAGGTATCCATTAATTTCTTAGAAAGTAGTACCTTTTTTTCAAAATCGCCCATTGGCGATTCATTAATTATGGCAATTTTTGGGATGTTTTAAAAATTCTATTTTGAAACCAAAAATTTCCAAAATTTTGTCTCAGGACCATCAACGCGGCGAGATCTACATTTTAGATTTTTTTAAAATTTTTATTTCGCCAAAAGGAGCAGAATATTTTGAAAACTTTGGTCCGTGAGCATCAAAATGCATTTTTTTCGCTTTGACTCGTCGAGAACTATATTCCAGATTTTTTTTAAGGATTTCGCCCGAGTTCAATATTTCCATACCAGATTTTTGACTTTTTCATGGGCAATATTTCGAAAATCGTTGTCGTGGACCGTCAACACGCTATGTTTTTCGATTTGGTTCGTCGAGATTTATATCCCACAATCTTTCGTTGATTTTCAAACCCAAAATTTCAATTCTTCAAACTGAATTTTTAATTTTTTGGTAATTTTTTCGAGCATCTTCGAAAATTACCAAAAGCGATTCTTTTGATTTTTCGGTTTCTTTTATTTGAAATCATACCTTTTTGACAAATTCGCCATGATGAAATATGGTGATTTTGGAAATATTAAAAAAATTCCATTGAGAAACCTAATATTTTCAAAATTTTGCTTTGTTTTCGAGATAGTTCATCAAAATCTTTATTCCAGAATTTTTGTTGGCTTGATTTTTCAGCAATTTTACCAAAAGTTCGATATTTCTTTATAAAATTTTTGATCTTTTCTCGAACATCTTCATAAATCACCAAAAGCGATTCCAGTTCCAACTCATGGAATTTGTTTGTGGAATTTTGGGCAATTTCGTCAATATCTCAATTTTTACTTCCCGAGCGTAAACAAAGGAAGTATTGTAATCGAGTCCGTCGGCCGACTCTCTACTTTGCATTTTCTCGACCTATCATGACCCCTAGAGGACGAAGAAATAGGTCCCCTATTTCCGTCTGTCTGTCCGTCTGTCTGCCGTCCCGGATTTTTATTAGACAGATAATTAGGAAACAACATTTTGACATTTAGTTTGGAATCTGCAAAACCGAATGCTTTGAAATCTTGCAGATGGTTTACAGTTATGATAAGCATGATAAGTTTTTATTCAAAATATATTTACTTGTCCCCTCCAAAAAATTGAGGACGTCACCTGAAAAATTCGCCGAATAAGTCGTATCTAAAATGTAGTAAATATGATGAGTCTGTACTTGTAATTTATCATTCCATTCATATTTTTTGGATTTGCACATACAGGACACATAAGAGTACATATTGGAAATAAGTTACTTTTAACTCTCTTTTTTGTTTATAATAAACAATTTTTCAAAACCAGGTAGAATTGAAGCATGTAATTTATTTCAAATTTTGTGTAAATTAATGCCAGTTACACCTACTAGTAAAATATTTGTATGAAATGAGCCTAGAAGCTTAGATTAATATAGATGCGACATACAGACTGATTTTGTAAAACCACCCTTATTGACATTGGAGTCCTCAACCGCCAAAGACAAGCGCCAAATTTAAATAGTCGATGCCAATAAAAAAACTTGTTTCACTACAACTCGTCGCCTGAGAACTTGTTTGATCTACAGACCAGAGCGCGCTCAGGCCAATGTCTACTCTAAGCGTTCAGAAGCGATTTGGTTGGTTGGACTATATTTCTGCGGGAAATAGTTGTTTGGTCGGTTTTTATAACGACTAAGTGAATATTTTTGGTACATATTTAGATGATTTTACATATTTTGTTTAACTAAGAATTAATTCTTTATTTGTGTTTTATACTAGCAAAACGTCTTAAACTAAGAATATTGTTTAAATCGTAATAACCCAATGGATTTTTTTTGGGAAAATGTTTTGGAAACACTGTGTTCTATTTTGTATGAATTTTTAAATGTTTTTAGTGACAATTTTTGTGGTTGTTTTCGATAAACAGTGAGAAAAAAAATGGAAAATTAAAATAATCGAAAATTCAAAAAATCGGGAAATCTAATAATCGAAAAATCCAAACCCTAAAAAATCGTAAAACCGAAACATTGAAAAATCGAAATATCGAAGAACTGAAAATCGAAAAATGAAACATCAGAAAATCGAAAAAATGTAAAATTTAAAAACCGAATAACGAAAAATCGAGAAATCGAAACTTCCAAATTTAAAAAATCGGATAACTGAAAAATCGAAACATCGAAAAACTGGGAAATCGAAAAACCGAGAAATCGAAAAATCAAAAGATCAAGAAATCGTGGGGTCGAAAAGTCGTACAATTGAGAAACTGAAATAGGCCAAAATCGAAAAATCGAAAAGTTAAAAATTGAACAATTTATAAATTGAGAAATTGACAATCAAAATATAGAAAAATCCAAATCTCGATAAATCGAGAAAAAACTTAAAAATTCGAAAAATTGAAAAATTGAGAGATTGAAAGATCAAAAGAACGAGAAATCGAAAAGTGATGAAGTCGAAAAATCGAAAAATAGAGAAATCGACAAACAAAAAGTTAAAAGTTGAAAAATTGGAAAAGCGGAAAAATCAAAAAACGAAAAACTGGAAAACTGGAAAAACTGAGAAACCCAAATAGGCCAAAATAAAAAATTGAAAAATTGATAAATAGAAAGCCTGAATAATCAAATCTCAATAAATCGGGAATAAAAAATTAACAAATCGAAAAATTGAAAAACAGAACATCTAAAACCAGGAAGTCGAAAAATCGGAAGATTAAGAAATATTGAAAAATTCAAATATCAAAAGATTGAAAAATCTAAAATTTAAAAATCCAAAACATGAAAAATCGAAAAAGTAAAAAGGTAGACACATCGAAAAATCCAGAAGTCAAAAATAGAAAAGCCGAAGAATTGAAATATTGAAAAATCCTAAAACTGAAATATCTAAAAACTGAAAAATCGAAAAATCAAAAACTTGAAAAATCAAAAAATTAAAGAATTGAAGAACAGAAAAATCGAAACACTCGAAGATCAAGAAATTTGAAAATCAAAACATGGATTAATTGAAAAATCGAAAAATTGAGAGTTTATGAAAGTCAAATTTGAAAAATTAAAAAATCGAAAATTTGACAAACTGACAATTGAAAAACAGAAAATCTAAAACCGGGAAATCGAAAAATCAAAAGAATCGAAACATTTGAAAAATTCGAAAACGTGAAAAATTCAAATATCAAAGAAATGAACTGAAAAATCTAAAATTTAAACAATAAAAAAACCTAAAATTGAAAAATCGAAAAAGTAAAATAATGGACACATCAAAAAATTCCAGAAGTCAAAAATCGAAAAGTCGAAGAATTGAAATATTGAAAAATCCCAAAACTGATATCGAAAAACTGAAAAATGGAAAACCTGAAAAATTCGAAAACTGAAATATCCAAAAATTGAGAACCTGAAAAGTCGAAAAATTGAGCAACCGAAAAATCCAAAAAGTGAAGTTGAAAAATCGAAACTTTAAAAAAAGTAAAAAATGAAAAATCGAAAAATAAAAGAACTGAACAGGAATATCGAAACCCTGGAAAGTCAAGACATGGGAAAATCAAAACATCGATTAATTGAAAAAATTGAAAAATTTAAAGTTTATGAAAGTCAAATTTGAAAAATTGAAAAATCGAAGATTTGAAAAAACGACAATTATTGAAAATCTAAAACCGAGAAGTCGAAACATTTGAAGAATTGAAATATGGAAGAGCTGAAATGAAAAATCGAGAAATCGAAAAATCTAAAATTTTAAATATGGAAAAATTAAAATACCAAAAAAATGAGAAATTTAAAATTTAAAAATCGAAAAAGTAAAAAGTTGACACATCGAAAAATTCAGAAGTTACAAATGGAAAAGTCGAAGAACAAAAATATTGAAAAATCCCAAAACTGAAAATTCGAAAAATTGAAAAATGAATGAAAAACTGACGAATCGAAAAACTGAAATATCCAAAAACTGGGAACCTAAAGAATAAACAAATTGAGAAATCGAAAAATCAAAAAAGTGAAGTCGAAATATCGAAACCTTAAAAAAATCGAAAAATTGAAAAAGCAAAAACCTGCAAAATCGTAAGATCAAAAAATTGAATAATAAGTAAACTGAAAAATCCCAAAACTGAAATGTGCAAAAACTGAGAAATTAAAAAATTGAGAAATCTAAAAAACAAAAAAGTGAAGTTGAAAAATCGAAACTTGAAAAAATAGAAAAATTGAAAAATCGAAATAATTAAAAATCGTAAAATTGAAGAGATAAACTGAAAACCGAGAAATTGAAAAATTGAGAAATTGTAAAATCCAAAAATTGAATAATAAATATGAGTAAACTGAAAAGTCCTCAAACTAAAATTTCGAAAAACTGAGAATTCGAAAGGTGAAACAGCAAGAAATTATGGTCGAAACCGGTTAGGATGTGTATCAGATCACGGATCATGGCTTATAAAATCAAATCGTTTCCGAACGCTTAAAGTCGACATTGGCCTGAGTGCACTCTGGTCTGTAGATCAAACAAGTACTGTAATTCATGTAACCTGAATTAAAATGAAGGAAACAGTAAGCAGCTTGTAATATCTGTTCAATTGGTCGAAAATAAAACGCGTCGTTAAAAATATTTTGACATTTTTTCTATTGGATTTAGTTAATTTTATTCCTAGTTAGCAACAAACACTGTTGCCAACATAGGTCGAGGTGTCCTCAACCGTCACTTAATTTAAACTGTGACGCTTCTCTATGTTCTCTGCTAGAAGCTTAGCTTTCCTTTCTCCATTATTCGTCCGAGGTGTATAACTGTCTGCCTATACCTCTAAACCAACTAATAAGAATAAGTGTACCAACTTGTACCTTTTCACGGTCGAGGGAAGAAATAAGTGACACGGAACGATTCTCTAATCTATTTATCTCACATAAAGTATTTGTACACTTACATCCTATACTTACAACAGAAACATGATTAAAATATGGTAAGTTGATCAGTCATTCGTTGTTATTTTACAAAAAATGGCTATTGCATAATGAGTAAAATGGCTAAATAATCACTATCAACTATCGAATAATATCGATTTGTACAATGACAATCGTTAAAATTCTAACATAACAGAGATCACTTTTTGCAGCTTTGACACTAGGAGCTTCCACTTGGCGAGCGCAAAAAGCAATAGAATAAATAGCTTAACACTTAAAATTAGCTTGAAAGAGTCCTTAGTACATCATCCCCGGATGGACGCCGCTTCCTCGCTGGAAGTACACGTTGGGGTTGCTGCTCAGGGTGGGCTCGAGGGTGGTGTACACGTTACCGTCGTCCGGTCGCAGGAAAACGCCACCTGAAAAAAACAAACTTGCGTTTAAAACTGTCCCACTTTCGATCAATCGGCTCTCCTAAGCAGAAATTAAATTAATTCGAGCCGTTGAGTACTGTTAAACTCATTAAGAGCAGAGTGCCCGGTAAATAGGGATTCCGATCGAAGCAATTTAAAATTCATTAAGGAACTTCTGTGGCCATATATAGCTGAATTTATTAATTAAACAATTAGTAGCTTTAAGTGTAATAAATTACCGGATTTAATTCGCCGGATAATGATACTGATCCAAACACGATAATTTATCATTTTATTGTCTGGGGAAAAAAATTGATGCTTTACGATGGTCTCAATAGCCGTAATTGGTACTCTCTTCTTCAAACTATCATCCGTTAAAACCGGAAAACTGTTTCATGATACGCTAATTTATTTAATGCATTGCTTTCATCTTACGTGATTGATATGAGAGAAAAAGTCGAGGCGAGGCCGCATTTTTGCGCTTAACGACGTTAATTTTAATGTTGTAATGCGTTTACCGTGACGTTAAAAATTGATTGAAAGTTATTTTGACTGAACTTCAAAAATGTATAAACATTTTTGGCGATTTTTGTTTTTTGATAGCCTCGAAGTCAAAAACAGGGCCATAAATTACACTTTCGCAGTTTTTTTGACTTGAATTTTTCAGTTCTTCGATTTATCTTTTTTTTTGTTTTTTTTTTAGTTTTTCAATTTTCTAATTTTTGAATTTTCGGTTTTTTGATTTGAGTTTCTCGAGTATTCAACTTTTATGTTGTCTATTATTCGACTTTTTAATGTTTGGATTTTATAATTTTTTGTTTTTCAATTTGAATTTTTTCAATCTTCAGTTTACGACTGATGGATGTTTCAATTTTTAGATTTTGCAGTTTTTCGATTTGCAATTTTTCGGTTTTCAATTTTTATTTTTCAACTTTTAGATTTTTTAGTTTCATGATTTTTCATTGGCTGGAAGTTATTTTGATAGAACTTCCCTTGTCCCTGAAGAACAATCGAGCAAATCTTACTTCTTTGAAATATTATATTTTTTGCTATTTTTGTTATTTGACAACTCAGTTGAATATTTCAGTTCTTCAGTTTTAATTTTTTTTTTCGTTTCTTCAGTTTTTAGATTTGCAATATTTAGAGTTTTCAAGTTTAAATTTTTCATGTTTTCAGTGTTTTGATTGGGAAATTTTTTTTCAATGTGAAATTTTTTAATTTTTTGATATGCAATTTTTCGGTTTTCAATTTTTCATTTCTCAACTTTTAGCTTTTTTAATTTTTCGTTTTTTCAACTTTAGATTTTTCAGTTCCACGATTTTCCAATTTTTTGTTCTTCAATTTTTGTTTTGTTGAGAGTTATTCTAGTTTTCGTTTCTCGATTTTTCAATTGTTCATTTCTTCAGATTTTCGATTTAGAATTTTTCGTTTCGGTTTTTTATTTCCTTTATTTTTAGAATTTTTCGATTATTCAATTCCGGTTTTCTTAATTTTTCGTTTTTTCAGTTTCAATTTTTTTTCAATTTTTCTCCAATTTTACTACATGCAATTCTTCGAGTTTTCATTTTAAAATTGTTCAGTTTACGATTGTCAACTTTTGGATATTCCAAATTTTAGATTTTGCAATTTTTCGATTTGTAATTTCACGAGTTTTCAGTTTTTTCGATTTTTTAATTTTCCATTTCTTCAGTTTTTCGATTTGCAATTTTTTTTCGGTTTTTGGCTTTCTTTATTTTTCCAGTTTTTTGGTTTTTCTTCTTTTTTTCTTCTGATTTTGTAATTTGACTTTTTTTATGTGGAATTTTTCATTTTTTGGAATTATCAATTTTTCGAATTTTCAAGTTTAAATTTTTCAGTTTTCCAATTTTCCAACTTTGAATTTTCAGTTTTTCGATTTGCAATTTTTAGTTTTTGTTTTCCATTTTCTCTATTTTTCTATTATTCGACTTTTAATGTCTGGGTTTTATAATTTTTTGTTTTTCCAACGTCAATTTTTCCAGTCTTTCGTTCTTTCAATTTTTCGATTTCTAGTTTTTCAATTTTTCATGTTTTTGGTTTCCTAGTTTTACGATACGCAATTTTTCGAGTTTTCATTTTAAAATTTTTCAGATTTTTGATTTTCTAACTTATGGATGTTTCAATTTTCAGATTTTGCATTTTTTTGGATTTGCAATTTCTCGATTTTTCAATTTTTCATGTTTTCAGTGTTCTGATTGGAAAATTTGTTTTCAATGTGAATTTTTTTAATTTTTTGATATGCAATTTTTCGGTTTTCAATTTTTCGATTTTTCAACTTTCAATTTTTTTAATTTTTCGTTTTTTCAACTTTAGATTTTTCAGTTCCATGATTTTGCAATTTTTTGTTCTACAATTTTTGTGTTGTTGAGAGTTATTTTAGTTTTCATCTCGATTTTTCAATTTTTCATTTCTCCAGATTTTCGATTTACAATTTTTCGTTTCGGTTTTTTTTCCCTCTATTTTTAGAAGTTTTCGATTATTCAATTCCGGTTTTCTTAATTTTTCGTTCTTTCAATTTCAATTTTTTTCAATTTTTCATTTTTTAAGTTTCTCCAATTTTACTGCATGCAATTCTTCGAGTTTTCATTTTTAAATTTCTCAGTTTACGATTGTCAACTATTGGATGTTCCAAATTTTCGATTTTGCAATTTGTCGATTTGTAATTTCACGAGTTTTCAATTTTTTCGATTTTTTAATTTTCCATTTCTTCAGTTTTTCGATTTGCATTTTTTTGTTTCGGTTTTTTAGTTTCTTTATTTTTTCAGTTTTTTGGTTTTTCTGTTTCTTTTTTTTTTCTTCTGATTTTATAATTTGACTTTTTTTATGTGCAATTTTTCAGTTTTTGGAATTAGCAATTTTTTGGTTTGCAAATTTTTCGGTTTTCAATTTTCCGATTTTTCTCACTATTAGATTTTTTAAAATTGTCATTTTTTCAGTTTTAGATTTTTCAGTTCCTTGATTTTTCAATTTTTCATTTCTTCAGATTTTCGACTTCGGTTTTTCATTTCCTGTATTTTTAGAAGTTTTCGAATATTCAATTCCGGTTTTCTTAATTTTTCGTCTTTTGAATTTCAATTTTTTTCAATTGTTAATTTTTTTTAGTTTCTCCAATTTTACTACATGCAATTCTTCCAGTTTTCATTTAAAAATTTTTCAGTTTATGATTTTCAACTTTTGGATGTTTCAAATTTTAGATTTTGCAATTTTTCGATTTGTAATTTCACGAGTTTTCAATTTTTCCGGTTTTTTTAGTTTCCTTATTTTTTCAGTTTTTGGTTTTTCTTTTTCTTTTTTGCTGATTTTGTAAATGGACTTTTTTATGTGGAATTTTTCAGTTTATGGAATTATCAATTTTTCGGTTTGCAAATTTTTCGGTTTTCAATTTTTCGATTTTTTAACTTTTGGATATTTTAATTGTCGTTTTTTCAATTTTAGATTTTTCAATTTTTCGATCTTTAATTTTTCCATCTTTCAGTGTTGGAGTATTCGACTTTACAATTTTGACGAATTTTTCGGATTTGAAAATCGAGAAATTGAAAAATCAAAGATTGAGAATCTGAAAAATTATAAAATCGAAAAAAAAACGAAAAGTTATAAAATCGAAATAAACATTAATATAATAAAGGAAATGAAAAAAATGTGATCGAGAAAATGAAAATTAAAAATCAAGAACTGAGGAAACGAAAAATTGAAAAATGTGTAAGTCGAGAAATTGGAAAAAGTAAAGTTGAAAAAACGAAAAGTTATGAAACCGAAACATTGAAGAATGAAAGAAAAAGTAAAAAGGAGAAGTTGTGATATCAAAAATTTGGTCGAAGGTAGATAAATACAGATTTTTCGAAAAATTGTTTGTTAGGTTTGATTTTCTTCTTTCATAATAAATTGGATACATAAATTTTTTTGGAATTTTAAATTTCTCGATTTTTAGTTTTTCAATTATTCAATTTTTCGTTTCTTCACTTCTTCGATTTGCAATTTTTCGATTACCCACTTTCCTCAGTTCACAAACTTTTCCGATTTTTTAGTTTCCGATTTTAATTTTTCCAGTCTTTCGTTTCTTCAATTTTTGAATTTCCAATTTTTCTATTTTTCATGTTTTTTGGTTGCTCAGTTTTACGATACGCAACTTTGGAAGTTTTCATTTTAAAATTTTTCAGATTTTTGATTTTCTACCTTATGGGTGTTTCAATTTTCAAATTTTGTATTTTCTTGAATTTGCAGTTTCTCAAGTTTTCAATTTTTAATTTTCAGTTTTTAGATTTTTCAATTTTTCATGGTTTCAATGTTCTGAATGTTCGGTTTTTCAATATTAAAATTTTTAATTTTTCGTTTTTTCAACTTTAGATTTTTCAGTTCCATGATTTTTCAATTTTTTGTTCTACAATTTTTGGGTTGTTGAGAGTTATTTTAGTTTTCATCTCGATTTTTCAATTTTTCATTTCTTCAAATTTTCGATTTACAATTTTTCGTTTCGGATTTTTTTTTCCTTTATTTTTAGAATTTTTCGATTATTCAATTCCGGTTTTCTTAATTTTTCGGTTTTCAATTTCATTTTTTTTTAAGTTTCTTTAATTTTACTTTTGCAATTCTTCGAGTTTTCGTTTTTAAATTTTTCAGTTTATGATTTTCAACTTTTGGATGTTCCAAATTTTAGATTTACAAATTTTTCGGTTTGTAATTTCACGAGTTTTCAATTTTTTCAGTTTTTTAATTTTCCATTTCTTCAGTTTTTCGATTTGCATTCTTTTTTTTTGGGGTTTTCTTTTTCTTTTTTTTCTTGTGATTTTATAATTTGACTTTTTTTTATGTGGAATTTTTCAGTTTTTGGAATAAGCAATTTTTCGGTTCGCAAATTTTTCGGTTTACAATTTTTAGATTTTTTAGTTGTCGTCTTTTCAATTTTAGATGTTTCAGTTTCTTGATTTTTCAATTTTTCGATGTTTCATTTTTCGATTTTTAATTTTTCAATTGCCGGATATCTAATTTTT